AAACTCACCTTCTGTACTAAACATTTAAAACCCCATTAATAGTAACACTTTTTCTAGGCCTTTTCAAAATGAGACCTGCTATTTGTTCGTTTCCTTTTTATTATGGAAAATTTCAAAACTAAACAGAAGTAGACAGGACAGTATAATGATCCTCATGTACTTATCACCTGGTTTTGACAATTACTAACTCACTTCATCTACTTCCTTTCCCCCTCCCACACTATTCTGAAGCAAATCCCAGGCATATTATTTCATCTGCAATTATTTCAGTGCATATTTCTAAAAAATAAGGACTCAAAAAACACAACCACAACGTCATCACCACAAATAATAATTAGTCCTTAGTAACATCAAATATCCAATGCTTAAATATTTTGGTTGTCTATAAATGACATAAACATTTGCTATTGTTCTTTTTCAGATTGCTTATTTGAATCGAGATGCAAATGACTGTACACGTTACAGCTGGATGATATGTCTCATCTTTCAACCTCTATGTCTCTCCTTTAGCTCTATTTATTTCTTGCAATTCATTTGTTGAAGAAATTAGGTCCTGCATATTTTCCCCACTGTTTGGATTTGTTGCTTGCATCCCTGTTTTGTCATTTAACATGTTCTTTACCATATTATTCTGTGCCCTACATTTCCTGTAATTTGATAAATCTGATATAGAGGCTTGATCAGATTCAGGTTCTATTTTGTTGGCAAGACTTCTTCACAGGTGATGATATAGTCTTCCATCAGGACACACATAAAGTGTGGTTGTCTCTCTTGTGATACTAGCAGCCGTTGGTGATCAATGTCTAGATCCATTAATCCATTAGGGGTTGCAAAAATAGTGATATTCTAATAATAATTCAATCATTCCTATTTCTTTCATTTTTATTTTTTTTGGCTGTGTTGGGTCTTCGTTGCTGTGTACAGGCTTTCTCTAGTTGCTGTGAGTGGGGGCTACGTGAGCGGGGGCTACTCTTTGTTGCGGTGCGTGGGCTTCTCATTGCAGTGGCTTCTCTTGCTGTGGAGCATGGGCTCTAGGCACGGGGGCTTCAGTAATTGCAGCACGCAAGCTCAGTAGTTGCGGCTCGCGGGCTCTAGAGTGCAGGCTCAGTAGCTGTGGCGCAGGGGCTTAGTTGCTCCGCGGCATGTGGGATCTTCCCAGACCAGGGATCAAACCCATGTTCCCTGCATTGGCTGGTGGATTCTTAACCACTGCGCCACCGGAGAAGTCCCTCTATTTCATTATTTTTAACTGAAATACTTCTATAAGGAGAAATTTCCCCTGATCTACTACTTGGAAATTTGGCTTTACCTGGTGTTATTTTCTTGGAGAAGGGTAACATATTAATTAACACATTGGCAGTGACTAACTTATCCTATAAAAAGATGCGATGAATCATTTTCTTTATGATTGTAGAAACCCTCACCTTGAAGGAAAAGGAGAATATAACTGCAACTGAAGGAGAGGAAGTAAATGGTGATCAAAAACCTGAGATATCTGGGAAGAGAAGAAAGAAACACAGACGCTTAAAGGTAACACTTTGCTAAGTCTGTTCTTATCTGGCATATAAATTCCTATTTGGAAGCCCACCTTAAGGCTTTGAATACTATCAATATTTACTTACTGAGGTGTCCTGCATTCTTATCTCCTGTTCAGATCTCTCCCCAGACTTTGCACAGCTGTCAAAACTCTACCTGACATGGCAACTTTGATGTCTAAAAAGACATTTCAGAGTTAACATATCTAACATGGAACTTTTAGTTTCACCTCAAAATTGTGACTCAGATCTTCCCTATTTTACTAAATGGCAGCACCATCCACCAGTTACTAAAGCCAAAATGACAGGAGTAGTCTTTGACTCCTTCTTTTCTCCAATCCCTATAATCAATGAATCACCAAGTGCTGTTCATTTTGAGATTATTAACTTCTTCTTTCTATTATTAATGATACCACCCTAAACCAAGTCACAGCTGTTGAGAAACAATTGTGCTATCACAATAAGTCTTCTGGCATCCCTGCTGACATGTTGGCCTCCTCCGGAACATTCTCCACAAGAAGGGAGAGTGATCTTTCTAAAATGTTAATCAAGGATCATGAGCTGATAATTGTTGAAGCTGTGTGATGGATTCATTCTACTAATTTCTTCCCCACTTTATGTGTTTGAAATTTTCCAAATTAAAAAAATAAAATGTTATTCTGATTATTTATCTTAACTTCTTACTATTTCACTTCTCGGCTGACTCCTCTATGTTCTTAAAATAAAACCAGATGGCTGTGAGCCCCAGCCAGCCCTCAGTCTACATGTCCAGCTTTATCCGATGCCACTCTTCTTGCTCAGGCTGCCCAGGCCATAACCTGTCAGTTCTGAGAACCCTTTAAGCTCTTTCTTATCTTAGAGCATTTGTACTTTTTATCCCCTCTACCAGAAAATGATCATTCCCTAGCTCTTTGCAAGGCTGGCTCCTTCTTATTCCTTCAGGTCTCAGCAAAACTTCACCTCTTTAGAGAGTCCTTTCTTAACCACTCAATCTAAATTAGATCTTCCTTCACCACTACTCTCTGTCACATTATTCAGTTTATTTTATACCTTACCACAATTTATAATTATCTTGTTTGTTTATATTTATATAAATATACTTACTTGTTTATTATGATAAGAAATTAACTTGAATGAATATTTAAAGATATGTGAAGGCATATGCCCACTCACATTCTATTCTATTCTATTCATGTTATAATTCCACTTCTTTGAGAAACTAGTGGATAGAATATAATTTTTTTTTTTTTTTTTTTGGCTCACGGGCCCAGCCGCTCCGCCGCACGTGGGATCTTCCCGGACCGGGGCACGAACCCGCGTCCCCTGCATCGGCAGGCGGACTCTCAACCACTGCGCCACCAGGGAAGCCCCATAGAATATAAATTTTAATAATCTTGCTTCATAAACAAAATAAGATTTTGATTAGGAGAGTAACTTCTTGAAATTGAAATTTTAGGAAGAGAGTGATATGAAATTTGGATTGGTGGAATTAGGAATCTCCATTTGAATATAGTCTCTCTTTGATTCTAAACTGCCCAATATTTTTAAGTGCTGAATAATTTTAAGTGACAGTCATTGTTTGATTTAAATGTCTAACCTCTGAAATTATATTTTGTATTATTAACATGACACCTCTCTCATTTTTACGACCAATACATTTATGTTTTATCAGCTGTTAATTTCAGGCAATTCTCCTAGTGGTATGATAAAGAACTCAGTATTTTTGCAGATTCTGTCCTCTCCCAATCATTGCCCTGACTCAAGAGTCATAGGAGTCATTTAAATTTAGTTAGACCAAAAGCAAGGCTACATAAGCCAGCCTACCAAACCAGGGAGCAGATGGAAATTGTCTGCCAGTAATCTAAAGGATGTCCCTGGCATGACAGAATTTTAGAACTGGAAGATATCTTAGAGATCATGTAATAATCCGAAGTGCTCATTTTAAAGGGGGTGAAACTGTTGTTCTAACAGGTTTACAGACTTACTCTTCCCAAAATAAAAGATAATATCCTAATCTGGTCATTCAAGTCATTGTCAGAAGACCCTTACGGAATTGTATATTAAATCTGTATCATATCAAAATCGGGAACACAGGGCTTTTATGTCATAAATCCATGATTTTCAGTATAATAAGATAACGCCTCCTTCTCCCTCCTTTCCAGCACCTTTGGAGCCTTAAGTCTTTTCAAATTATTCCAGTGACCTCTGCTGTTCCTGAGATAGTATCAACACTTCAATATTTTCTTGTTTTAAAAAATGGTTTGATTTACTAACATGCCAAACTAATAGTACATAAACTCAACAGAACACATTTCATATTGGCACCTCCTTCAAGTCTATTAGCCCAAGGTGGGTTACTAGCTGCAAAGAATTTAAATTTTGTTAAGATTCTTTGAAAAAGTTACTTGTAGATTTGACGGGTGTTGTGAGTAAAGAAGATGGACATCTCTTCGTAAAATAAATCGGTACCCAAATAGATAATGCTGTGGTGGGCTGGTGGCAACGCTGATTAAGCATTTATGGGGCTCAAGTCCATTATAGCCACTGAGCACTCTGATGCACAAAACATTTTAGAAGCTAGAAAGAATTCAGTACCCCCTTATAGAAGGACTTGCATTTCACATAGTTAAGGGGCCCAGGGCAAGACTTTATAATCTATTTGCTCCATATAACTTGGATATGTCACCACAGCAGATTTCCCAGCTGCTGCTGACAGCCTCACTTGCCTGTTCAGACAGTGATGGACCCTAACCATCTCCTTGTTTAGGGTTTTAAAACATGCCCGTAAGACGACAGGGGCCTTGAAAGCCCATTTAGATCCTTTCCTCTCTTCTGGCGGAACCACACCCAAACCATTCCAACCAGATGAAACTCACTCCTGTTTTTACATACGTAGCAGAGAGACTCCATAACATTTCATCTGGGCACTCACAGTGGGCAGAACTCTGGTGGCAATTCCATCCCTCACTGCAGGACTCTGACATCCCAGAGTTGCAGCCAGTTTCCTTCCTGACCGCTGAAACCCAGCTAAACAGCTCAGAGCGCTCTGCCACGACCCCCAACCGGGTGGACTGGCCTCGACCAAACGGGTGGCCCCAGTACACTTGCGGGGCGTGGCCCGGGGCTGCAAAGGCGTCCAAAAAGTAGGGGACCCGGGGTCGCAACGGGAGGGGCAGGGTGGGCGTGCGCCGCTCTCGCGAGAGCTCACGGGGTAGGGGCAGCGAGGGGCTGGAGACGAAGTGCCGGGGGAGCAGCGCTGCGGTCGCGGTGGTTGTTCTCTGTGGAGGAGGCGAGTGGCCCTTTCTCCGCCCCTTTTTGCTTCTCCTCCCACTGAGTGATTCAAGCCTTGCGCTTCCCACTTCCGCCCCCTCTGCCAGCCATTGGAACTAGCGCAGCCAAACAAGTTGCGGCCGCCGAGCAGCCGGCGCTCCCCGCCTCCTCCTCCTCTCCTCCTCCTCCTTCTTCTCCTTGCCTGGCCGCCGACGTCGCCGCCACCCCAAGGCCTCGCGACCGCCGAGCCCGCAGCCCACGCCACGGCCGACATGAGCTTCTTCTTGTGAGTAGCCAGGCCCAGCGCGCACCGGCTTTGTTCAGGAGACCTGGGCCGCGGGTCCCCCACCCTTCTCCCAGTTTTGCCCCTAGCTGCTTGACCCGGGCGTTCCCACCCACCAGGTCTCGGGGAACCTGCCCCGAATGCTCGCGTTGCCTAACCGCCGCCGCCTCCCCGGCCCGCTTCCAGCAGGCGGGGAATCCTCCGGCCCCCAAGGAGGCTCTTTCTCCCCGGACCCCAAGTCCCGACACACCCCGATGCCTGCGTCCGCATTTCTCCATCACCCCAACCTTTTCTCTCGCTCTTCTCTTGGGTTTGTTTGTTTGCACGCTCTATATAGATACCTCCCACTCTTCCGCAAGGCCCGTATCCGACGCGTGCCCGGTCGTCTGCCTCCGTCTCCCCTGTTCGTTGCTTTTATTTCTGGGTCCCACGCACAGAAGATAGAGCTTCTACTTTCTTCCGTCACCCTAGGACCCTTTTCATCCCCCACGTAGGTTTTAGGAGTGGGAAGTTGGGGTGACAAGTCTTGTGGATTTAACACAACGCGGCTGCTTGCGCGTCAGGATCCTCTGGTGACAACCTGGGGTCTTGGGGACTGGAGCGCCTTGCTTTCCCGAGGTGCCCCTCCTCCCAGCGTGCTCCCCTGAAGAGTATGGGCTCTATCTTTTTAGACAACCACCATATAGGGTCTGGGTAGTGTGCCCTGGGTTGATTAGGTAGTTGTTTTGCAAATCATTTGTAAATGCCAACTCAACGTCACATTTAGTGCTCGTCATTATTTTCCCTTATCGTTTATTGCAGACGAGTTGAGGGGGATGGGCAGAAAGATGGGGTGGCCGGATGGGAGTATGGTGGCAGCAGACAAGCCTCAGGTCCTCCGAAAACAGGACCTTACACCCTGGGGAATTACTCTTTTGAAGGCTTCGCTGTGATTCACCTCTGTTTAATCTGTGGTTAGAAAGCTAATAAAAGCTCGGAGATTGAAACCCACCCCATATGCTCCTTTACCATTGTGGAGAAAATTAGCATTTAAAGATTTTCTTCTTTCCCCACCTCCCATAATTTTTCGTCATCACATTGGCACCTGAATCCTGAGAATTTAATTAACCCTTATTTTCACAAGCTTATATCTAGAATGTTAATCCTTTTTAGGGTGTTTAAGCAAAACTGAGCCATCACAGAGGCTAACCGGCAGGTGGACTTGCTAATATTTCTAATATGCACAGGGGGTACCTGGCTTGTGTCAACCTGCCTAACACATTTGAGCTTATGAAACCTTTCTTAGGCTCATCCTAGAAGTTGATTCTGAGTTTGTCAGATAGGTAGTACTAGATGAGAGGACTGAGTGATTTCATAAACGTCTTTGCTTCCTATTTTAGTTTGAATCAAGATAGCCAAGCATCTCCACTTGAAACTTCTCATCTTGAGTATTTTTTGCATTGCTGTTTGTTGATTTCTTCAAGATTTTAAAAGCTGTCTTTGAAATAGCAATGTAGATATGTCCTTGACTGCTTCTGATGGGCCTGTGTCTCTTGGAACTCATAGCTAAAATTCAGGGAAGAACCATATTTGGCTGAAACTAGGGGATAAAGAAGGTTTGGGTGGTATTTTCTGAATATAAATACAATAGTATCCTGCTTTTCCATGGCTCAGTAATAATTACAGAAATGTAATGTATAAGTTCATTATCCTGAAGCATATTAGCTGCATAAGAAGAATCTTGCCATAACTAATGTAGATAGCACATTAGAGGGTTTGTATTATTTGGAACACAATTTTTCAGTCGGGTCACACGTAGCAGTTATTAAATTCTCAAGATATTTTGCCCGTATGCTGCTTGACAGTCCAAAAAAGTTAATCTAATATTTTTGGTTTTGATTTTTGTCAACTGATAGTTTAAAATCTGAAGTGAACACCTCGTAAGTAGAAATAATTATTACCAGAAGCGAAAGAACAAAGTTTTGGTTATTATCTATTATTTGGTATAATTTCCTGAATATTATTTCTGTACCAACAGATAAGCAGAGAAAGTAAGAGTTGCAGTTTAGGAGTTACATACAGATATTTCTCTCCAGTTCTTGGAAGCTTATTTGTAAAGCGGCTATAAGTGGATGAAACTGCAAAAATAAGGGCAATGTGAGATAGGGTTATGAAGTTGATGACTCATAACTCTTGAGGGCTTTAAGATAGAAGAAAAGAATTATTGACTTAAAAAACATCATTCAGGGCTTCCCTGGTGGCGTAGTGGTTGAGAGTCCGCCTGCCGATGCAGGGGACACAGGTTCGTGCTCCGGTCTGGGAAGATCCCACATGCCGCGGAGCAGCTGGGCCCGTGAGCCATGGCCGCTGAGCCTGCATGTCCGGAGCCTGTGCTCCGCAACGGGAGAGGCCACAACAGTGAGAGGCCCGCGTACTGCAGAAAACAAAACAAAACAAAAACAAAATAAAAAACATCATTCATTGTGCAGGCACTGGTGTAGGCACTGGTTCAGAATACGTTTGCACTGCTTTGATTCTAACTGGGACAAACCTTTGGTTGTGCTGCATATTGGCCTGTGTGTGTCTTCAGATTAAGCTAAACTCCCAGATAGTGCATACAAAAACTTCACAGGAACCTAATTTAACTTTATAGACTCAAATCTTTAAACACATCCATAGTACCTTCTGTGTGCTAGGCATTGTGCAAGATGTGAGACTCTAGAAATGGTAGACAGTGTATAAACAGTCATCTGTAGTAGAAGCAATACAAGCATAGGGGTCCAAAGAATACAGAGCATTGTGTTCTGTTTGAGCAGGGGGAAGATTTCATGGAAGAAGTGATGGATAGTTAATGGAAGGTATAACAAGAGTTCTCTAAAAGGGTAAGGGGAAATGGGAGATTTCAGTTAGAGGAGACATCATGGGGGCATGAAATTGCCTGTGAATTCTCCATTTTCAGGTTTGTTCAAGAGGCTGTAGAATTTGGGAGCTAGATGGGGTCTATCAGTAACACAGCTTACTCCTCTCTTTTTTGCTAAAGTGGCAAAATCACCAACCTCACGTTACTGACCTAATTATTGGCCTGGGTAGAATTGGAACACAGATCTCTTGACTTAGGGTTTTTCCTCTCCTGACATTTTATGCATATAAAATTGAGGGAGATTTAGGATCAGAGTGAGTTCTTAACAGTCATTCAAAAAATATATAGAGTGTTCTCTATGTTTCTAGCATTTTTAGATTGCAAGTCTCTTCTGACATGGAATTCCACGGAAACATTTGACTAGGAAGAAACCAGGGTGTAATTTCCTAATGTAAGACTGCTTGGTTGGAACAGAGTTAGAACAAATATAGTTAACTTTAAAACAGAAGTTTGTAGGAAGGTGGTTTAGGAATGAGAATGAATATAAACCAGGTCTGTTTCTGTATAGGAAGAAACAAAGAGGTTGGGAAAGGAAGGAAATATTTATTGAACATTATGCTAGACAGCTGCCATTTGTGTTTTCAAAAGAATAGCAATTTGGGAAAGGGGACACAGGGTTTTAGCTGTGTTTATATGTGTCTCTGTCTGTCTCCTTCTTCTACTTCTCTCTTCTCTCTTACCTCCTTCTTTCCTCCAAACACCTCCCCCCACCCCGCCCCCCATACCAGCATCTTTGTTTTCAGGCAGATGATTCAACTGATTTTAGTGCTTCAATATCCTCACCTGTAAAAGAAATTAATAATAAAAATAGCCTGCTAAGTGCTTACCATGTGCCAGACACCAAATGCTTTAGATAAGTAACTCAATTTAATAACTAGCAGGAACCCCATTTTTACAGATGAAGAAACTGGCAAAGAGATGTTAAATAATTTGTTCAAAATATGTAGCTAGTCAGTGGGGTCGCTGGGATTTGAATCCTGGCAATCTAGATCCAGAGAACCTACCTCATATTACCTTATATCTAATTGATAAAATTATATAAAAAGGTGGTATTCATATAGGTCTTGTTTTTAAGAGAAGTCTTTCATGACCAGGTATTAATATCTCATACTGTGAGGACTGCTTTCTAAGGGTCATCAGGAATATAATGGTGGAAGAGAAAATAGAAACCTTTAAATTTAAATAATACTTTAAGATTATTTTTGACTTTTATTTTTAGTGTAAGAATAATACTAGTTGATTCACTTTGTTATACAACGGCAACTAACAACAATGTAAAGCAATTATACTCCAATAAAGATGTTTAAAAAAAAAGACAGAATAATACACATGTTGGAGTAATCACAAAATACTTTTAAGAAAAGGAAGAAAATAAAAATCTCTCATAATCACACCTTCAGAGATAACTATTGTATTTTGTGATATCACTTCCTAATCTTTTCTGTCACGTTTTTGTTTGTACATATGTAAAAATACACAAATGGATCCCTACTGTCCATAGACCAGGTTTTTCACTTGTGAATTTTTTATGTCAGTATACTTCTACAGCATCACTTTGAGTGGCTGTTGACCAAGTATTATCTTTGCAATTTTGTTATCTGACCAACCAATTTAATATGTTATGCTTTTTCGGGGGTGGGGGGGAGGAAGTTGAAGTAAATATGGTCATCTTTTCAGAATTTTAGTTTGGGGAATTGCAAATATCAATACTTGGCTGTCCTTAGTTTACTCTTACCATCTGATACAGGATTGCTTTTGTTTTACATTACAGAGTGCAAAATAATTATTATGTGATTACTTTTACCATTAACGACTTTTTTTCCTTGATGTACTTGAAGAGTTTTTGTATCTTTGGAGTTTCTGATATATGAAAGCACATATAGTACTTGTCTTCAAATGTATATTTGACTAGGAGGTATTGAAGCAGAATACTTGTGTTACTTCTTGAAAAATACAAGAAAAATGGTACCTATTAGGAATGTTAAGTCTGTAGAGAAGTTTTAAACTCTCCTTTCTTCCAACATTCCATTTTTTAAAAGATTGAGATATAATTGATGTATAACATTAATTTCAGGGATATAACTTCCATTTTTGTTTTGTATCA